ACGAACAAACAGCAATGATGACCCATCCGCCTCGTCCGATGATGGTGTCGCCAGACATTTGCAGCCACGGCTGGGGTGAGCCATCGTCCTTGCTGCTGCTGCTGCTGCTGCCGTTGTCTGTGTGTCCTCCGTGATGCCGTGAGACAAGAGGATATGTGCTGTGGTTGAACGTCACAAGAGAGACAAAAGAGTGGCGTGTGTGAATGGGGTGCGCCAACGTAATGTAACGTCGATGTGAAATAAGCAGGAGGGTGATGGCAAGGGGGAATGGAGAGCAGTGTGTCGTTCGCGGTCCAGCCTGTCAAAAGCTGCTGCAAATAACAAACAATGTGTTGTTGCTGGCAACCCACCACCCTTCGCGATTGATTCATCCAATCTCCCCACTCCCTTCCTCGTCCTCCTCTTCCTCCCCACCACTGCATGCACATGACAAACCTGATGATGAAACAATGATGAATGGCTTCTCATAACACCAACGACGACGACGACTAATGCCGCCGCCGCTGACGGTGGCCGTTGCTGCCGTGTCTTCTTGTCTTTGGGGGTCCACTCGTGCGTGTGCTGTACCGTGTGCCGTGCCCACCACACGAAATGCCTTGGCTGGTGCATGGTCGTACTCGCTCGCGCGACTGACTCTGCTTGCCTGTCGCATGCCTCACACTCACGTACGCACGCACGACGGCAGACGGCAACGCTGTCGAGCAAACAGCACGTGCGTGTGACGTCAGCAGCACGTGTCCTGGTGTCCGCACTTTCACCTACAACCAACGACCACGAGGGGTCACAAGCATGGGGATGGGCGTTGTTGACAAGGATGAGATTCTGCGCGAGCTCATGTCAGTGTTGGAAGACGGCAGCTCTTGCAACGTGAACATGACTGGTGTGAAGAAAGAGGAGGAGGAGGAGGAGAGTGACGCAACCCTCTTCGACAGCCTCAGCCAAGGCGCAGTGAAGGAGGAGTGGGAATGGGAGAAGGAGGAGGAGGAGGTGTGCACAGAGCTTCCACAGGAGCACAGTGCACATGAGGAGGAGCGTGGGAGGAAAAAGAAGAAGCAGAGAAAGACGAGCAAGGCCAAGAACTTACCTGCTGTGCGGTCGAACAACAAGCGTGCACTGGACGCCCGTTGGGACGAGGAGATGCTTCGCCACAAGGACTTCAACGGCGTGGTGAAGCCGTACATAGAGCGCCACCTCTCCAAGGCTGATCGCACACACTTTATGAAGGCGCGACGCCGCTACCTGAACCGCACGTACCGCGAGAAGAAGCTCGAGCGCGAACCGTCCGCCGCCAAGGCCGTGCGTCTGCAGGCGGAGGAGAACGGGCGCCTGCAGCAGGAACTGGACACGCAGGAGCAGTGCTTGGAGGATCTCAGGGCCAAAATCAACGCCCTTAAGGAGTTCATGCGCCAAAGCGACATCCCTTTCTGATGCCGTGAAGGCCTAAGCATGAGCAGAGGTTGCTGCCGCTGTATGTGCACCTCTGCTCCGGTTGTAGTCGACCTTGATTGAACTGTTGCTGATTGTTGCTGATTGTTGCTGATTGTTGCTGTTCTAATTGTTGTTGCTGCTGCCGTTTCCCTTTCTGCATTGCATTCATTCGCATTCGCTTCTTCTGCATCTTTTCTTTGTTGGGCGCACGCAGCAGCACATCTTCTGTTTAAGCGTATTCTTTGCCACCTGTTGTTGGCTATTGCCTTTTGGCTTCATAGTTGAACCATGGAGACGAGAGGAGGGAGGAGGGAGGAGGAGAGAGGAGAGCGCTCGTTACGAGATGCTTTTTTTTTGCTGTCGCCAACCCTTCTGATTACACAGTCGACTGAATTCAGTTTCGTCGTTGTGGCATGCCAACGATGAGGACAACCATGTTGGGAGGACAGCAAAAAGCCAGCCGGGCTGGGCTGCGTGCTCCAAACGCACACGCACACGCAACCTGCACACACAACAACCTGGGCGGTGTTTGCACAAAGGAGTTGGTGGTGGTGGCGATGCAAGCGATGGCACGACAATCGCCATGCAACTGGCATGGTCTCTGCCCCAAAAAACTGCTTGGAGGCACGAACTGCGTCACGCTGGCTTCCGTTCTGCCAAAGCCCCCCTCCCTTTCTTACCCCCCACCCCAGGCAAAAGCACGCCCAGTGCACACACACTTCACACTAACTTGTCACGCCACGCCGCTCCTCGCTGCAGTAATGTATCCAACAACAATACTTGGCATGCTCGGCGCGCCAAACTCTTCACCCCAACCCGCTCGCCACCGTCCTTGGCATTTTCCACAAGAGCACGGCGTGCCTTCAATACCACACCATCGCCACCACCACTGCCACCACCACCCCATACAAACACCGATCCAACGAGCGGACAGCCTCAACACGCACGGTACTACCACTTCAAAGAGACATCCAGTCCCCCCCCCCTTTTTTTTTTCGCTCGCCTACCGCTGCACCTGCCAACTCGACTTTTCTTACATCTCCCATTACAGAAAGGAAGGAAACGCACGCGACAAGAGCACAGCCAACCAGCCAGCCACACTCGCTCGCCTCCTGGCGCACTTCTCTCTCTCTCCCTCTACCTTGCCTTTGAGCGCCGTTCACGTGATCCACCCATCGAGCGGTGGTGATCTGCAGCTGCCCTCAGTCTCCCCATCACCAGCCGCAACGCTTGCCTGAGGCGACACCGGGATGACCATGAGTGTCTCCACTGTGCCCAAGGCTTGCACGTCAGCGCTGTTGCTGCTCATCGTCTTCCTCCTCTCTTCCACTCATGGGGTGCATGCATCTGGCGCCTGCCCCAGCTTCAACAAGTATGATTGCGCCTGCCCGTCTTCAGCCATTGCTGTCATTCTCCGCGACGACAACAGCTGCAGGTCAGACACATGCGTGTATGCTTTGTGTATCTGTGCTGTGTCTGTGTCTGTGTGCTGTGTCTGTCTGTATGTATGTATGTATGTATGTATGTGTGCTGTGGGGAAGGGTTTTGGAGTGGTTGACTGGCCTCAGACAGGGATATCCATGAGAGCGTGCTGACGAGCACTGACACACGTACACACACACACACCATGTTCATGTGATCCACCATCCACCATCCACAGGGAGTGTGCATGCTATGATCAGAGCCTGCATGCCTTTGTAGGCGTCGCCGAGTCCAAGCAGTCGGCATCCCACGAAGTCCAACGTAAGCAATTTCATTGGTGGTTGGTGGTCACAACACAACTCACACCCACCCCACATGTATGCCCTCAGACTCTGTGTGTGTGTGTGTGTGTGTGTGTGTGTGTGTGTGTGTGTGTGTGTGTGGTTATTCACAAGTACCCCCTGCCCATGTTCACACATTTCGTGCGCCTATGCCATGCAGAAACTACACCCACATGCGAGCCCCCAGAGTTCTACTGCCGCGAAGGGTCGGAGGTGGTGTTCCAACAGGATGCGTTTGGGTGCTGGTGGTGCTCTTGCCGTCCACATACACAACGACTACACGGACACCAAGGAGCACCACCACTCGAAGCACCACCACCACCACCACGACAACAGAGACTACAACAACCACTACCACAACAACAACAACAACAACAACAACAACAACAACAACAACAACAACAACAACAACAACAACAACAACAACAACAACAACAACAACAACAACAACAACAATAGAGACTACAACTACAACAACAACAACAGAGACTACAACAACTACTACCACGACCACCACCACGACAACAGAGACTACAACAACTACGACCAAGCCTGGAGACACGACGACGACAACAACAACAACAACAACAACAACAACGACGACGACGACAACAACAACGACGACGACAACAACAACAACAACAGCAACAACAACAACAACGACGACGACGACAACAACAACAACAGGGTCTGAAGAGACATCCTCCAGCAGTTCACCGTCTTCGTCATCATCCTCGCCATCTTCATCCTCGTCACACATGTCCACTCCGCACCTGACTACGGTGACACGCCCACACCGAACAACCACGCCCTACCAGCGATCAACACCACACCTCACCACCACGCAGCAGCACTCATCCCACGGCGCCTCCACCACGTCTGCCGGCGTGAGCACAAGCCGCGTGTGGCCATCGCCTGCGCCTAACCAGTGCAACGACACGCGTCTCACCCTCGACCACCGCGGCCACTTTATCTTCTGTGGGTCTGAGGGCGGCTGGGCGTGCCCTTCACACGCCTCGTGCGTTGACGACTTCTGCTGTGATCGCCCACAGTCGGAGTGGACCACGACCAACTCTGCATCGCACCACTACACCACCTCGCGTGCAGTCACGTCCACCCCGTACGTACCCGTGTGTTTTCACATGTTACCATGTGGCGGAAACCGGCCGCTGGCGTTTGATGGCTTCTTCTTCTTTTTCTTCGTGTCCATCGCGCTTTGTTTTGCATTGTCCTGCGCTCATGCACACACACACACACACAAACACATACACACACCCTACTTGTGTGCACGTGCGCATACACACATACGCATACACGCAAACACACACGTTCACGTGTACATGAACCCACACGTTTAACGCGCATTCACGTTCAATTTCACCGTGCGTGCTGCAGTCATGCAACAACGACTCGCACGAGCGAGTGCCCGAGCTTCCCGCAGTGCCGCTGCGTGGAAGGGGAGCAGCTTGTGTTCTTCAGTGACATCTACGGGTGCATCTTTGCGTGCACGTGTGAGCGACCGCTGTCCACACAAACGACGACGCCAGGCTACACGTGCGTGTCACATTTGTTGCCTGTGTTGCTTGCTGCGTTGCTACTTTGCTGCTTTGTGATTTTGCTGGTCCTCTTGCTCTGTTGTGTTCGCCAGTTTGTGGATTGCTTGCTCACTTCGTACCGTATTCTATTGTGCTTCCTCACATGCGATTTTGGCGTGTCTTCAACAGGACAACTCGCCCGGTTCGAACAACAACCGGTACACGACCCAGAACAACGACTCGCCCGATGAACACGACCACGGTGTCGACAGTGCCGGCAGAGACGTCAACAAGCTCATCCACATCGACATCCACGTCATCATCATCGTCATCGTCGGCGTCGTCAACGACAACATCAACGAGCACGGCTACGACCATCTCTGAGACAACACGATCTGACATGACATCAACCTCATCTTCGACCGCATCGAGCATAAGCACCACATCATCGTCGTCCACTTCAACGTCATCGACATCCTCAACCTCTACCTCAACCAGCTCCACATCGAGCAGTAGCACATCAACATCAACATCAACATCAACATCAACATCAACATCAACATCAACCTCGACGTCAACATCCACTTCATCCTCCACCACCTCTTCCACCTCCACTTCATCCTCCTCCACCTCTTCCACCTCCACATCAACCACCTCTTCCACCTCCACATCAACCACCTCTTCCACCTCCACATCAACCACCTCTTCCACATCGTCAAGCTCCACGTCCACGTCCACAACGAGCACGACCGCCCCAGTGACCAGGCCCCGCACCACACGACACGCAACAACGCCGCCAAACTACTCAACACGAGGAACAACACCCTGGCGTTCAACAACCACCAACGGGGCGCGCACGACCACAAGCGGGACCTCACGACCATACACAACACGCAGGGTGTGCCCGCTGTACCGCCAATGCAGTTGCAAGCCGGATCAAGCACCAGTGTACATCATCGACAGACACGGCTGTCGTCTCTCCTGCAGCTGCAAATTCGTACGTGCTCGCTCACACTCTGCTTCCTGCATGGTGTCGCTGATGCGAGGTCTGCGTTCGCCATTCGCAGCAGTTGTGCTCACGCTCACGCTCACACGCACTCGTACTCGTACGCTCGCGCACACCACTTGCACGCTCACTCACACACACACACACACACCACTTGCACGCTCACACACACACACCACTTGCACGCTCACACCCACGCACGTACACACACACACACACACGTCCATACTCGCAGTTGGACGAGCTGCTGGCGGCTGCTGACACATCCGGGGGCGATGCATCGTCATCACCACTCTCTGTATCCAGCATTGTTGGCATGGCTGTTGGTGGGTTTGCACTCCTGGTGCTCGTCGTCTGCGTCATTGTTATTGTCATGCGCACACGCAACAACCGCGCGTTTGATGGCCTGGCATCTGTGGAGCCGCTGCAGTGGGATGATGGCGACCTCAACGTCACGCTCACGGTAAGAGCTACGTGTGTCTGTGTGTGTCTGTGTGTCTGTATGTGTCTGTATGTGTCTGTGTGTGTGTGTGTGTGTGTCTGTCTGTCTGTCTGTCTGTCTGTATGTGTCTGTGATGCACTCTTTCGACGTGTCACTGTGCTCGTTTCGTGCTTGCTTGATTTGTTCGCTGTTTGCCCGCCAATCACAGGCTCACATCACTACACGCGCACGCTCATGCTCATGCATATGCACATACACATGCATACGTACATGCACACGCACAGCGGGTGGTGTCCGCCGACAACCTGAGCGGTGACGACACGTTCCCGCGTGGGGGCACATACCCATATGGAGGTACACTCTCGCGCGAGAGCACGTTCCCGCGCGATGACACGCTGTCGAGCGGGGAGAGCAGAGGCAACACCATTTCGCGGGGCGGAACAATGGACGCTGGAGACACTTTCCCGCGAGACAACACCACCTCCAGCGAACGCACAATGTGAACCACACAACAATTACAATGACACAATCACTACATGTTGAATTTTTTTCACTGTTGTTGAGTGAGCATTTTCCATCACGTTCGATGATCGAAGTGTTCATCTGTTGACTGTTGTGTCGCTGCTGTTACACAAACTCCCTTGTGCATCCGCGTTTGCCTTCAAATTGGTGTTGTGGATGTTGTTTTGTTCACCAAACCGGGCATTCGGTGCTTCCATCACGGTTGTGGTGATGTGTGTGCTCTTGCACTTTGCGACTTTGTTGTCCAACACACACAAAACATGTTCAACGCCCTTAGTATCTGCTCTGTTCATTCTTCACTTTGTTGATTCCTTCATTTTCGTCATTGCTCGTCCTCTTCTCCTCTTTGGGTTTGTGTACATTCTTGTGCGCTGTGTTGCGCATCAATGAGAGGAAGAAGGCTGCATTTCCACAGTTTGTTGGTTCGTTCGCGCTTGACTTTACTTGCGCTTTGCGTGCAGGCAGTGCTTTGCCGCATGTGTGTGTGAAATTGTGACACAGTGTTTCATCTGAGTTGTTGTGTCTTGCTGTTGCTGTGGTCACGGCTTCAACTTCTTGTTTTCTGTTTGTGTTTGTTTGTCGTTTGTTCCTCGCTGCCCTGTTCTCCGGTTGCGTGCGCGCGCGCTTCGTTTGAACCAAACAGGGACTGAGAGCGCAAGGTGTGCGGTTGCTCTTGTCAACGTGTGCGCATACATATGCCATGTGGTTCACTGGCTTTCAGCCAGCCGTGTGGTGTGCCACGTTTTTTTGCGACACGCCACAGCTGTATGGCACCTTGTGTCGCTGTGCATGCCGCAACCACCACCACCACCACCACCTTTGCTGCCCCTGCCCCTGGCGGCTTGCTGTTGTTGTTTTGACAGGCGCAGTGATAATTCGAATGAACAAGAACCTGCAATGAGGGCGACACAAGCATCAACTACAGCAAGTGGGCGGTGGACACCTTGCGAGGGTGGTCGATGCACGATGACACGAAACCGAGAGGCAGTGGTGTGAGTCACAGAGTAGTTGTACTGTTCACAGACCAAAACGAGCGATGGAAGAAAGCTGTGTGACTTGACAGAGAAAGAAGTGGGCTAGTGTGAAGCACGACAAGGGACGTAGAATGGGGGGGGGGAGCAACCAAAAGCGGCAAACAAAGACATGGCACCAAACAACACTGACACATCAATCAAGGCATGGAGGAGGACGGTACAGTGACATGATGAGAGCGCACGCAGCACAACCAGCGCACGTCAGTTCACATGCGTGTGCGTGTGTGCGTGTGTTTAAGCGGAGGCCTCGGCGCCCGTGAGGATGGCATCAACCTCGTCGATGATGGCGCGAGACATGTCGGCAGTGGTGTGATCGCCGCCCATATCGGGTGTGCGCACATCCCCGCGCGTCAGCACGCTGCGCACCGCCTTCTCAATCGGAGACGCAAACGTGTCCATGCTGATGGTGGTGGTGGCGGTGATGAGCAGTGAGCGGAGCAATGGGACAGCGTGTTGCGGCAATGATAGACAGAGAGAGAATACGTGTGTGTGTGTGTGTGTGTGTGTGTGTGTGTGTGTGTGTGTGTAAATAAGAAGTGCGTACCCGAGGTGGCGCAGCATCATGGCACCGGACGAGATCATGCAGACGGGGTTGGCGACGCCCTTGCCGGTCAGGCTCTGCTGGATCTGGCGTGCACCCTACTCGCACCCCAAAAGCAGCAGTGGTCAGTGGTCAGTGGTCAGTGGTCAGTGGTCAGTGGTCAGTGGTCAGTGGTCAGTGGTGGTGGTGGTGTGCGTGCGTGCGTGTGTGTGTGTGTGTGTGTGTGTGTGTGTGTGTGTGTGTGTGTGTGTGTGTGTGTGTGTGTCATCTCAGTCGGAGATTCACGGTCCAACGTGGGATTGGAGAAGGATGCCACAACAAGCCGTGCACAGCTCAGCAACCAAGTGCCAACGCACAACACAACACAGCAGTGAATAGAAGACAGGCAATGCACGACAGCACAGCACGCAAGACGACGCCACACCACACCACATCACATCACACGACACAGCACAGCACATGACAGCACGGCCGCACCGGCTCGAAGACGGCAATGTCGTTTCCGATGTTGTATCCGGGGACGAGACCCGCGCCGCCAACGAGACCCGCGCCAATGTTGCCCACTAGCCACACGCGCACACAAGTGGGGTGTGTATATGTGTGTGTGTGTGTGTTTGTTTGTTTGTGTGTGTGTGTTTGTTTGTGTGTATGGTGTGTGTGTAAGCGAATGAGGGAGAGTGAAGTTGGAGAGGACAAGACGATGAGGATTTTACATGGTGTCACGAGTGCACGTGAAACAGCAGTACACATGTGCGCATACAGCGCCGTGTGCATGTGGCGCCGTGTGTATGTGATTGGACTCACCGATGTTGCCGTAGAGGTTTGGCGTGACCACGACATCAAACTGCTGAGGACGAGACACCTGTACACATACACAAACACACACGCACACATGTAAATGAAGAGCGATGAGCACACGAACAGCAAAATACACAGGTAATCACGTGCCCGTGTTACACAAACACACGCACGCACACGTACACGTACACACACATATGCACCCACGCACACGTACACATGCACCCACGCACTTGATAGTGCAGAAACAAGCAACCGCCAATACCCGCACACGCACGCGCACTCACCAGCTGCATGCTGGTGTTGTCGACAATCATGGCTTCAAAGACAATGTTGGGGTAGAGAGAGGCAACCTGTAACACAAGCACACGAGTACAAGCACATGTGCATCAGAAGATGAGTGGGGATGAGAGCATGTATCCCAACGACGGCGAGATATTGTCCCACAAACGAATACACGCGCACACACCCATGTACAAGGCCTGATTATATCACACCCAAAAAACACACCACCAAAATGCGAACATGCGCACGCATACACACGAGCAGATGCGTGCGCATGTATGTACAGGGAAACAACGCAAGTTACAAGCCATGCGCACACCTCCTTGCAGCACTGGAGGAAGAGGCCGTCGCCCTGCTTCATGATGTTGGCCTTGTGCACCGCCGTCACCTTCGAGCGGCCAGTCTGCTCACAAGCACACCGTGAGGATGGTGGTGGTGGTGGTGGTGATGGTGATGATGATGAGGAGGAGGAGGAGGGGCAGGAGGAGGAAGTGGTTTGGGGGGGGGGGGGGTCATCACGCCATGGCGTGGGCAGCGGCAATTGCACGGGCCACCACACAATCAATAGCAGAAGCACAAACAACACAAACCCACGATGAACAGCACCAGTCTGATTATAGCGCCGTGCTGACCTTTGCGGCGTAGTCAAAGGCGTACTTGGCAATGCGCATCGACTCCTCGCGGGAAATCACCTTCAGGCTCTCAATCACACCGGGCGAGATCTGGCAACAACAACGACGACGATGGTGATGATGATGATGATGATGATGATGATGATGATGATGATGATGATGATGGTGGTGGTGGTGGTGGTGGTGATGATGATGATGATGATGATGATGATGATGATGATGAAGGTGGTGGTGGTGGCTCATGCGAAGTGTAATGTGCGCTCATGTGCGCGTGCATGTGTATGCTGGATCTGTGCATCTGCCCCCCCCCCCTTTCCCAAACAGCAAACTACAATAACAACAACAACGGCAGTTGCCGCCACATTGAACGGCGACCGACCTCGTGCTCAAGGCCCGAGTACTCCGCCTCCGTGTTCTGGCGCACGACAACAATGTCCACATCGTCGTGGCGCGTCGGCAGGCCTGCCATGCACACATGTGCGTACGCGTGTGTAAGTGAGAATAAGCGAGTGCGGTTTGCGTGTATACTGCGTGTGTTGTGGGGACATGTGGTGCGTAATGGGCATGTGATGTTGGTGCAAAGATTGTTGTCAGCGTTCAACAATGCAGGGGCGCGCAGGCAACGACAGCAAGCCATGCATGACCAAGACAACAGTGCAGACGGGACGGGCTGACCTGCGGGCGTCTTGCAGAAGATGACGTTGGCAAACAGATCCAGCTCCGTGCTGCACGACACCGCGCACATCGCAGAAGTTGCACAGGATATGTGTGTGTGTGTGTGTGTAAGTGTGAGTACATGCGTGTGTGTGGGTGTGTGTAAGTGTGAGCACATGCGCGCGCGCGTGTGTGTTTCAAAGTGTGCGTATATGTGTGCATCGGAAGGATGAGATCAACCTTGCAAGCAGTAGCAGGCAAGCAACGAGGTGTGTGCACCGACCGGAGCTTGATGTTGAGGGAGGTGCGGGTGGCGCGGCCCTGGGGCGTCGACAGGATACCTGAACACGCGCCACCAGCAAAAATCAGCACATGAGCAACGGGTAAGCATATACAACGTGTGCACATGTGTGTGTGCGCGCGTTTGTGGTGTGTGTATATGTGCATGTGTGTGTGTGTGCGTGTGTGTGTGGGGGGGGGGCGGTTGTGAATGACGGGAGGTTGTGGTGTGTGCACTTCCACGCGAAGCGAGGCTGCTCACCCTTGAGGCCAACGCCGTTCCTGCGAAGAGACGTGATGGCGTCGTCCATGCGCTTCTCCGCATCCGGGTCAGCACCGCTGTCGAAAATGACAGAGGGCAATTACAGAGGGAGAGGGAGGGGGGAGGGAGAGAGGGGGGGCACAGAGGGAGGGAGGGTCCACACACACACACACACACACACACACACACACACACACACACACACACACACACACACACACACACACACACACACGCACACACACACGCACACACACACACACACACACACACACACACACACACGAAAAGAGAGAGGGGGGAAGAGACAGAGGGGGAGTGAGTGTGAGTCAACGGTGTTGGTCGGTCGAATGGTACATGCGTGTGCGTGCGGGTTTCATTGAAACTGTGGTGGAACACGTACGCGCTGGGGTTCAGCAAGGCCATGTTCGAACATTAATCACAACAAAAAAACAGCAGGGGCGGTGGCTTACTGGAAGTCGATGACCTCAAAGTCAACGGGGACCTTCATCCACCTGAAGTGCGACAAGAGCAAGGGAAAGCGAGGCCGGGATGCGTAAGGGAGCAAGAAACAAAAATGGCACACACACACACACACAGCACAAGTACGGAAGGATACAAGGGCACACGCACGCACACACACACACACACACACAATACACATACACACAACACACACACACATAAGTACGCACGCACGCACTCGAAGAGCTCGCGGACGGCGGTGGTGATCTCGGGACCAATGCCATCACCAGGGATGAGTGTCACAGTGCGGCGGCCGCCATACTTGGTCAAACCAAACAATGGCGTCTTGGCTGTCGTTGTGTGATATTGTATGTGTGTGTGATTGGGGTGAGTGAAGCACTGAACCAGAAGCACCGAGCGCGTGTTTGCGATGAGCCGACAAACCCGACGAACGACCCAAACACATCCACACATCCACATCAACGTAGCCCCACACACGTGCGCACAAACGGAGGTAACGTACGCGCTGTGCTGGCGAAGCGACGAACAATACGGGCAGCCATCTTGATGCTGACGCGTTGAAGGAAACCGAGTATCCACAAGCGGAGGAGACGAAGGATGCATGTGGTCAATGAGAACCAGCGTATCAGTTCAATAGAGTGAGATGCGAGACAAGTGCTTAGGATAGCAGGGTAGCAGACTTTTGCATTGATTTGGAATAGCCCATCCAAGGTTCATGATACAGCCACGTCACCACGTGCTCAGATCATGCACAAGGTCCAGCAGGAGCTACGCAAGCAAAGCAAAACACACACAACACACACCATACAGAGGCACACGGCAGCAACGGTGGGATAGTGGCACACAAAACAACACCGTACGCACAGCCATCGTCATCACCATCGTCATCAACTTAAAGTCGAACAACAACAAGCACAACAAACACAACCAACACAACAACAACAAAGGGGACAAAGACAGCTGTCTTTGTGTGTTTGTGTTTGTGTTTGTATTGCCTTTGCGTGTTTGTGTTTGTATTTGGGTGTCCACTGGAGCCTGGTACACACACACACACACATACACACACACACACACACACACACACACACACGCACGCACGTACGCACGCGTTCGTTGACTTACACGAAAGACGAGGAGGAGCTGAGCAGGTGGGTGGTTGTGTTGTGTTGTTGGTGCACAAGCAAGCAAGCGATGAAAAGAAGAGCAGCAACCGAGCGCATGTGGTTGTGGTTATTTCATGGTGTCGCATATGGCCGCCATCCTTGAAGTTCAGATTGTCAATCAGCGCGCCCCCATTACGTTCATGACGTCATCTCGACGAGCCAATGGTGTGCGTTCTATTGCTTGCCTCAACAAGAGAGAACGAATTTACAACCCCTCTTTGTCACGCTCTTCGGTTGCGCTTCCGTTGCGCTGTTGTTGCGCTGTTGTTGCGCTGCTCGCGTGAGCGGTGTCTTTGTTGCGAGAACAAACACCCATTGTTCCGAGGAGGTGCGAGCGCTGTGGTGCATCATGAGCATTCGCGGCCTCGCTAATCAACCTGCGCGTGTTCCGGTCGAATCTGCCCTCCCCTGATGCCGATCCGCCGCTGCTGTGGTGTTGTTCGCGAACACTCGACTCCACTTTCGTCACAGGGATTCCCATGCTCCGGGTCGGAACGCCACCCTCAACACAATCTTGCGTGAGAAATGGAGTCACCTTGGACCTAGCCGAGCCAAGTAAGAGCTGTGCACCTGAAGATTAAACGCTGGAAGTGGTGTCAAAGTGGTGGGCGCGGTAGCACAAAGGGAAAAGGTTGACCTGCAATCCGGTGGCTGTCCCCAATGGAGGCCGACGTGAACGTGAGCGCGCACAAAAGCCTGCAGACGTGGGTGGTGGTGGTGGTGGTGGTGGTGGTTTTGGTGGTGCCTAATTTGCATCACTCAAGCTCACATACAAAGAAGGTGCACTGGGTGTGCTTTGTTTGTAATTGCTGCTGGTTTGCCTTGGAGAATGACAGCGAGCAGACACAACAACTGTCATTTTTCCTGTGCGCTATTCCTGGACAGCCAACCGCAACACCAACCCAGAGCGACCCCCCCCCCCCCTCCACGGCGGCAAGATACGACAATCCTTGCACGAAGGTAAGACAGTGGTGTTTGCAACTTTCGGGGTTGCACGCGACAGACCATCCCACTTTAGCGCTCAGAGTGTGTAGGTCAAACGACGACCAACCCCCGCTTTCGGTTCACGCTTGTCACTTACGCATCCATGGCATCGCTCGGTCTTCTTTCTGTGTGCATTGCAGGCCAGCCATCGCCCGCTGAACAGCGAACTTGCACATTCACGAACTACCAAAGGGCCTACCACACGACCCAGCCACGCCATGCCACGACCACCGAGTTTCCAGCTTCCGCGTAGCTCCCCATGCTGCCGTGAGGACACCCGCCCAGAAACGTACACTTCGAAGCAGCTCAACCGCATGTTTGACATCGCAGTGCGCAAGGGCGAGGCAAAGGCCAGCAAGTACATCGACCGCGTCTCCAAGAAGTCAAGCAGCAAGAAGAGCAAGGGCTACTGAGGCACCGAACGGCGACAGAGATGCTAGAGATGCACCGAGGGAATGCACAGGCTGTATTTGGCATTTTGGCCCATGGCTGCGATGCCGCTGTTTCGCCCGATATGGCAAGGCCAGGCTGTTAGCGCACATCCAGCAATCAGCCCGACGTGACGATGCTTTCATGTACACGCGCTGCAACACACGTCGTGGGTCGTGCACATTGAAGCCCCGTACGGACTGGGAGCTGCTGTTGCCTTCTCCAGCCTCTGGCCTGCTTTCTTCCACCCCATCGCCCTTCGTTCTCCCCTCTGCTGCCCAATAGTGCTGCTGGACTTGGTGGCAGATATGCAAGACTCCTTGCCCCCAGTCATGCCGAGGGAGAGACGCACAGAATCGCAGGCGGTTCTGCCGCAGCTTCCTTTCCAGATTTCCTCCCCCTCTTTCGCTTGTGTTACTCTTGGGCCTCGGGCTTGGGTGATTGCACACCAAACCTGCGCTTTTGGACGTTCTCATGTTTTGTGGCTATTGCGACCAGTAGCATGCCATCGTGCACATCGCACTGCATCCGATCTCTTTGTGCCCTGACACGGTAATCAACCGCACTTCATTTTCTTGCGAGTATTCGACTAGCATTCCTGTCCATATTGTATGTTGTCCATTGACGCGAGCAGGACTGCCAATGAGGCTTTTAAGCGACCTTTGCCTTCGGCCTTCGGCCTGCTTTCTAGTACACATTTCTGTACACCCCAAGCGAGACGCGAAAATCAGCAGCATGTGCGCGTTGGTGCTGTGCTGGCCATAATGCAGCAGGGTGTCACTTCAAATCAAACCGCGTCATCAACATGTTGCGTGTGGTTGGCTGGGTGCTTGTGCCCCAAGTTGCACGCGGGTTCAGAGCAATAACTATGCCATTGGCGTTCCTGAACCCTCCATTAAACTTGCATGTGTGACCATGTTCACGAACGACAGCACCGCACACTTGCCCAACAATATTGCACCCTTTTCTTTGTGTTGTGTTGTGCGTGTGTGTGTGTGTGCATGTGTGTGTGTGTGTGTGTGTGTGTGTGTGTGTGTGTGTCCTCTGTCCTGTGTTCTGTGTGTGTACTCACTTGGGGGCACTGAAGCAGCGCAAAACGTGTATTCCAAATGCAACAATGAGGGAAGACGATAAACACACAAAAAGAGGTATGTAGTAGGGGACGCGTGGTGTCATCACGACAACACACCGCATCATCAGTAACAAGCGGGTGCACGCGCAGCACACGAAGGGAACGACACAATGTCGCGCATATGCATCATGTAACGACGAAACAACGATTCCGCTCAGAGAGGATGAAGCAGCCGGCACACGTGCTGTAACACGAACTGTAGCAAGTGAGAGAGAGAAAAACAAAAGAGAAGCGGAAGCGGTGGGGGGGGGCAAAGGGGATGGAGCGGTGAAAGACTACAGAAGAAGACAAACTCATCAACACACCAGTGATGGGGTGTAACACTGCACGCATGCAAGGGGAGAGAGAGCGCGTCCAACACACACACACACAGGCACACACACACACACACGCACGCACACGCACACACACACACACACACATACAGGCAGCACACACACAATCACGCACACGCACACACACACACACGAACAGAGTAACAGGTCTGCTTGTGCGTGTGTGCGCGTGTGTGCGCGTGTGTGCGCGCGTGTGTGCGCGCGCGTGTGTGTGTGTGTGTGCGTGTGTGTCCTTTGTCCTGTGTTCTGTGTCCTGTGTGTGTACTCACTTGGGGGCACTGAAGCAGCGCAAAACGTGTATTCCAAATGTAACAATGAGGGAAGACGATAAACACACAAAAAGAGGTATGTCGTAAGGGACGCGTGGTGTCATCACGACAACACACCGCATCATCAGTAACAAGCGGGCGCACGCGCAGCACACGAAGGGAACGACACAATGTCGCGCATATGCATCATGTAACGACGAAACAACGATTCCGCTCAGAGAGGATGAAGCAGCCGGCACACGTGCTGTAACACGAACTGTAGCAAGTGAGAGAGAGAAAAACAAAAGAGAAGCGGAAGCGGTGGGGGGGGGCAAAGGGGATGGAGCGGTGAAAGACTACAGAAGAAGACAAACTCATCAACACACCAGTGATGGGGTGTAACACTGCACGCATGCAAGGGGAGAGAGAGCGCGTCCAACACACACACACACAGGCACACACACACACACACGCACGCACACGCACACACACACACACACACATACAGGCAGGCACACACACAAAATCACGCACACGCACACACACACACACATACATACACGTGCATGCATGCGCTAGAGGCAAATAAACTTGGAGGCGTCAAACTTGCCGCCAGTGCCAGTGCTTGGATCGATGATGATGCACCCGGACTCGCAGATGTATCGGCCAGCATGCGCAGACAGCACCTCGCCATCCTTCCCAGCAACACCATCCGCATCATCCACGTCACCAGCGTCACCAGCATCGCTGCCACCATCACCAGGAGCCGTGTCGTTTCTGTTGCTGTTGCTGTTGCTGTTGGAGTCGCTGCTGGTGTCGGTCTCAACGGCGTGAGCACTCGTCGCAGACGCCTCATCATCGCCACTGCAATCACTGAGCACACCCCCTTCTCCATCGCCATCGCCAGCGTTGTTGGTGTTGTTGTTGCCGTGCTGCTGTGTCTGCGACAGGATGCGCATGTCTGCGGGCAGGCTGTCGATGATGGCGCGGGTGCCGAAGAACGGGTGAGCAACAATGCCCTCCTCAATGCCGTGCGCGAGCGTGATGGAGGCAACTCCGTCCGTGATCAGCGCGGGCAGCTTCAGCGTGTGCGCGTTGCGCAGGGCAATGGAGACAATGTACTCGCACGGCACGCGCCTCTCCTTGTGTCCGGTTTCCGCGGGGTGCACCCAGACGCCCTCTGCACCCTCCTCCAGCTGGCGCTCCTGCAGTGGCAGGCGCTTCACGCGCGGGCAGAGCTCATGCACGCGGTCGCCGGGCACCCACACGGGGTGGTACGGGGTGACACGTAGCCCGCCAGGCATGCACACGGCATCCATCATGCCGTCCGCACATCGCGTTTGCAGGATGACCTCCACCTCTGCAGCCTCACCACCGGCTGTGTGGACCAAATCGCCGGGCTCAAGGTCGATGACGCGCTTGGTGGACGCACCGTCCGCCATGAGCACGCGCGTGTCGTTGTGTACGCAGGGGTTACCCGGGTTGTTCATCTGCTGCATGCTGTCGAGGGACTGCACCTGCTCGCCACCGCCCTGCCCGCTG